GACTACAATGAGGTATTTTCTCCAGTTGTGAAACATACCTCCATTCGGATTTTGTTGGCCTTGGTAGCTCAGTTTGATTTGGAGCTAGCTCAACTCGATGTGAAGACGGCGTTCTTACATGGGGATTTGGAGGAGGAAATCTATATGACTCAGCCAGAAGGTTTTACCGTTGCTGGTAAAGAAGATTGGGTTTGCAAGTTGAACAAGTCGTTGTACGGACTGAAGCAATCTCCCAGACAGTGGTACAAACGATTTGACAAGTTCATGATCGGGCAAGGGTACACAAGGAGCAAGTATGATCATTGTGTCTACTTCTACAAGTTACCAGATGGATCTTTCATCTACTTACTCTTATATGTGGATGATATGTTGATCGCATCAAAGAGCCAGTCGAAGATCGAAAAGTTGAAGGCTCAATTGAATCAAGAGTTTGAGATGAAGGATCTTGGAGAAGCGAAGAAGATTCTTGGGATGGAGATAAGCAGAGACAGAAAGATGGGCAAGCTTTGTTTGTCACAAAGACAATATTTGAATAAAATACTTCAACGTTTTGGCTTAGATGAAAAGTCAAAACCTGTAAGTACACCACTTGCTCCTCATTTCAAGCTCAGTTCGGCGTTATCTCCTACCACAGATGAGGAACATGAGTACATGGCGAAGGTTCCGTATGCAAATGCGGTTGGTAGCTTGATGTATGCGATGGTGTGTACGAGACCCGACATTTCACATGCCGTTGGAGTGGTGAGCAGGTATATGCATAATCCTGGAAGAGGACATTGGCAGGCAGTGAAATGGATTCTGAGGTATATTCTGAAGACCTTGGACTTTGGATTGGTGTTTCAACAAGATGGATCACTTGGTCACTGTGTGGTTGGATATGTTGATTCCGACTATGCTGGTGATTTGGATAAGCGACGGTCAACGACTGGATATGTGTTTGCACTGGCGAAAGCTCCGGTGAGTTGGAAGTCTACTTTACAGTCTACGGTGGCTTTGTCTACAACAGAAGCAGAGTATATGGCAGTTGGAGAGGCTGTAAAGGAAGCTATTTGGTTGGGAGGTTTACTTGGTGAGCTTGGAGTTGAACAGAAAAACATTTCTGTATACTGCGATAGTCAGAGTGCTATCCATTTGGCCAAGAATCAAGTCTACCATGCACGAACGAAGCACATAGATGTTCGCTTTCACTTTGTGCGGGAGATTATCGAAGAAGGTATCATACGACTCATGAAAGTGAAGACTCTTGATAATCCTGCAGACATGCTGACCAAGGTGATTACAGCGATCAAGTTCAATCATTGTTTGAACTTGGTCAACATCATGCACATTTGAACGCCTTCGAGCATTTGAGTGCCATGAGGCACGGTTGGAGACATCCTTTCTCGTTTGTTACAGTGGTGTCATTGAAGCCAAGGTGGAGATTGTGAATGGTGGCTTCAATTATGGTGTTGGTGGCAAACAAAGGAAATTGGTGATGATGGCAGACAAAGGCAATTGGTTGATTTTTTATTTGAAAAAATCAAACACCATTCAACGTGAATGGTTTGGTGGCTTTTGTCTTCCGCCACAAATCCGTCTGTGACTTCTCCTATAAATAGCCATGCAAGTTATGTTCTCAAGTATCACAAATCACTAACAAAAACATTCAGAAGAGAAGAAGGAGTGTAGAAGAAGAAGTTTTCTTCTTCAGCAAGAAACCCAATATTTGGGTCTTTTCGAGGGTTTTGGGTTTTCTTTCTTAGTATCCAAGAAATTTGTTTCGGTGAGGTTCTTGGATACGGTTTGAATATTTTCTTCTTCTGAGTGTTACGAGAGAAAGGGTGTTCTTAGAAAATTGGGAAGTGAGGTTGAGTGTGTGTTGTATTCCACATTTGTTCACCGATATAGTGGAGTTTGTGTTCTTCCTCGCCGTGGACGTAGGCATTCTGCCGAACCACGTTAAATCCAGGTGTCTTTTACTTTCTCTCGTTCGATTCCATCGTCTCACATTTGAGACCCGGTACGCTTCCGCACAACAGATTATTACGTACGAGAATGTTGAGTTTGCCGCCAAACAAAGAGGAAACAGTTTCCATCAGTTTCTCCCTGTCGGAACGGGAGGATACATCACAGACTGAACCACTGACTCGAAGGCCCTTCTCTTTCCACTCGCGTAAACTTCGGTCAAGGCTAACTTCTGACTTGTCGCACGTGTGGATTCTCGCTCCGAAACTCGCTAGTTCCTCCACTACGGCGTGCCTACAAGATTCGCCGAAAAATTGTCAATCCCAACCGAAAAAAGATCCTGAAAAAGAAAAAAAAAATGTTCTTCATACGCAAGACAGTACCAAATAATAACAAGAAGTGGAAACATTACCCGATCCCATTGGCTCCGCCGGTCACGAGAGCCGTCATGCCCTGGAGACTCCATCTGCTATCCATTCTTCTGTATGATTACAAGAAACGGAATTGAAAATAAAAATAAAAATACATATGGTGGACCTCTTTATACATATGGCCAGTGACAGTGAACATGTGGTGGAAAACGTGTTTTCAGTCATACCCCACCAAAAAAATGCGGTGGAAAAAAAGTTTAAGTCCTACGATACGTTGGGACTTTGACAGATAACGACATTTCTTCGTTAGCTAAAGAACACCGAAACTGGTTTTGTCCGGTCCTCAGTTATTGTGAACACATTATGAAGAGATTTCAGTTTCTTCTCCATGTTTGTGAGGTTATGCCTTTTAATCTCGTCCAAATACTCTGGTAGAAATAGAGGGTTCAGAGGAAGGAAAAGTCTCCGAACGTATCAGAGGCTTTGGTCATCTTCAATATTAAATAGACTCAGCTGTTGTTGCTTCAAATGGCTGTATTGTAAGCTCTCGTATTTTCTTGCTCCTGTACCTGTAATCTTGATCTGATAGTGGATTACTCTCTCTCCCCGAGACGTAGGGTTAAGCACACTGTTTAACCTGAACTCGTAATTCGTGTGTGTCGATCTTTTCGTATTGTGTGTGTTCGTTCATTCTTTGTGAAATCAGTGTGAGTTCTTCGGATTCATATCCAATCGGCGATTCTGGGCAACTCGTTTCAGTCTCAGGAAGACGGTGAAAGACGAAGAGGATTCAGATAGTACAATTAAGTAGCTTCGCCCTCGGTATGCTGATCGTAGAGCGGATTCATGTGCTCTTGATTCTCTTGATGCTCCTCATCATGAACCGCATGGTCGTGCGAACTATTTGACCTCGACATAGCTTCTCTTCTCTGCTGATTTCGAATGTCTCTCAGGGTACGCTCAATCTCTGGATCGTAGACTAGGTCTTCTCTCCGAGTAGAGCTCCGTGTCATGCACTAGAATCCTGCAAATCGCAAGGAAAAAGAAGAACTCGAAACCAAGTGAAGCCGCAAAAACCAAAGAAAGAAAAAGAAAAAGAAAAAGAAAGACAAGCTAGGATCTAGAATCAATAAAGACCTAGAAATAGGCTAACCAGTCCCCGGCAACGGCGCCAAAAACTTGATACGTGTGTACCGAGTATAAAATCTATAACCCGATTCACAACTCACCGTAAGGATACGGATCGTCGTAACACGGGGTCGAACACAAGGACCGGTTGCTAAATCCAAATCTAGATCGAAAATAGATCAAAGCAAGCAAGCAAGTGATGGTGGAAATATGTAGAATCTATGGAAAATAAAATAAGAAAGCAGATAAAAACAAGTGACCTATCAAACAAGGATGACTACGGGTGTCGGGATCGTATTCGCGTGTATGGGTATTTACTAAGCATGCATGAATAACGATTATGACTTGTATTCGGGGATTATCAAGCAACAAAGATAGAGAATTCACCTCTCGGTCTACTAACTCACTATCTACAGAGTAACTCGTCAATCTCTCGATCTATTCAAGTTAACCCTAGGTGCATGAAGAACGCTATCATCAACCCTAGATCGATTAAACCATATCTCTATGTGAATAATACGATCTATCCTATTGATTTTGATCCGAAACAAACCCATATCTCTATGTGGTTCAGAATCCAAGATAATTGATCAAGGGGTTAGCAAACATCAATCCAATAAAAGTGCAAATCAATAGAACCGAATCAAATCAAAACCGAAATCCAAGTTAGGGTTCAAACATACCCAAAACACATATGAATCCCTAACCCATAGCCGTGGATCTACTCACGGTTCATAGAAAACAATAGAAAGAACCGAGAAGAAGAGATAAAAGAGAGGAAAGAAAGTCTCATGTCGATGTTTAGTCTTCACGATCGAATCCTCCTTCTTCTTCCCGAAATCCCGTGAACTTCTATTCTTCTCTCCCCAAAAGCTCTCCAAAATCTGTATCTAGGTGTTCTCTCAGGTTCTCCCTTGTTCTAGGACGTGGCTAGGGCTTTTTTATAACCCTAGGGTGGCTCCCCAGAGTTCTAATCCCATTCCAATGCTGAAAATCGCGAATTAGGGTTTCTGGTTGGATCCGGACCGATTCCAGGTGGATCCGGACCGGATCCAGATTCCTGGGGTCGAATTCTGCGTCCTTGATCCGGACCGATTCCAGCCGGAATCGGCCCTGCACCGGCAGTTCTCTGGTCTTCACGAATTCGCTCATAACTCTCTGTTCCGGTGTCGGATTTACGCGATTTTGGTGTCTACGCGAAGCTCTTGAAGTGCTCTTTCCAATGGTATAGGTCTCGCACGATTTGGACCTCTGTAGAGAAAGTTATTGCTGTCGCAACATGAGTACCTCATCCGGACTTCTCCTTTAACGCTCTAATTAGCTCCTTTTCGAGTCCAATCATCTCCGAAACCTGTAACTCTGCAAAACTAGAGCACAACCGGGTTTTGTATCCTAACACGCCTAGAATGCCTATGAATGCATGTGATTATCCTATAAAACCTAGACAAACTCTCATCAAAATATAGAGAAGAATGGTGCTTCAAGTTCACGACCATGCCTTGCCCGGCCGAACCTCCACCGACCCGATAAGAGCCATCGGTCACCACGAGGTCTCCTTTGCCTGGATGTCTCCATCGCCTTCTTGGAGGTAGCATCCATTTCTTTGCTTCTGTAAATTTCTCAGTGTAATAAGTGGCTTAGTTTATTCAGTTGCTGCATAGTGCATTTGTGTTATGGACATGGTTCCAAGTTCGGCCTTCATTCAAGAAGAGAGAACAAGAATATGGGGACGAAGAAGTGACTTTTTTTAATACGAAATGTCAATTAAAGAGCCTTTGTCCGAGAATTCAGTAAATATATATAACGCTCAAGATCATTTTCTTCGATATAAACCTGTATAGCCTCATATATTTGTCCGAGATAAGACTAAACCTCTGTAACCCTTACTTATTTCAACGAAATAGGGAATCGAATTGCTTGTTCTACTGCAATCTGAAAATGCAAACAATCTTCATATGAAAATTACTTAGTAACTGTTTTTCAGACAACTGAGGAAGATAACGGTGACGCAACTCTTCTTGCCAAAGCGTCTTGAGGAGACAAAGTCTCTGAGGATGAAAAAGGTGAAGGAGCTCATGAGCTTCGTGTCTGAAAGCTGCGAGAGAGGAGAAGCTGTTGATATTGCTCGTGCCTCCTTCGTTACATCCCTCAATATCGTCTTGAATGCTCTCTTTTCCATCGACTTTGCGAGCCACGACTCGAAAGAATCTCATGACTACCATGATATCGTGACTTGTTATGCGCAAGTTTCCGGGAAACCCAATATCGCAAACTTTTTCCCGTTTCTAGGGTTTCTTGATCTGCAAGGTACTCGTAAAGAGATAAAAGCAGTCATAGACAGGCTGTTTCGGGTTTTCCAAGGGATTATTGATGATAGGTCGAGGGAGAGATTATCCCAGACGAAGCCTAAAGATGTTTCGACCATTGACCTCTTGGATTACCTTCTCGATCAAGGAACCAATGTGAAAGTTATGAAACACCTCTTCCTGGTGGGTTTACAACTCTATATATGCACATGTTGGTATTCACACGTGCAAATTATGAATTAGTTGGGTTATGTACATATCATTTTGTGTCAGGATCTGTTTGCGGCGGGTACGGACACGAACTCTGTCACGGTGGAATGGGCGATGGCTGAGTTACTCCCCAAACCGAAGAAGATGGTAAAAGTTCAGGAAGAGATCAGGCAAGTAATCGGTGAAAATCGTGTAGTCCAGGAATCCGATGTCACGAGCCTCCCGTATTTACAAGCAGTGGTTAAAGAGACGATGCGTTTGCATCCGCCGGCTCCATTTCTCTTGCCGCATAAAGCAGAGTCTGATGTTAAAATTTTCGATTTCTTCGTGCCTAAAAATGCTCAGGTATTACCAATTATTGTAGCGAAAAATAACGGGATTCACAAAATGATAATAAAACAAAACTCTCTTTTTCTTTGTTAATGAAACAGGTTCTAGTTAACGTTTGGGCCATAGGACGAGACCCGAACGTATGGGATAATCTGATGGAGTTCGAGCCAGAGAGGTTCTTGGGACGAGAAATCGACGTGAAAGGCACTGACTTTGAGCTGACACCGTTCGGAGCAGGACGAAGGATTTGTCCGGGAATGCCACTGGCTCTTAAGACAGTGCCTTTGCTGCTTGCTTCTCTTCTCCATTCATTTGACTGGAAGCTCCAAAACGGTGTCGTTCCGGAGGACCTGGACATGGACGAGGCATTTGGCAGTATCTTGCACAAGGCCAATCCTCTCTGTGCCGTTCCCGTCAAGAAACCTCTCGTCTCAACCATCTCTCCGGATATTTGATTAAGCGATGCTTTCGTCACACATATAATATTTTCACACGGTGGAATTACAATAAAATCGTGCTTGAGGATACTCTAATTTAAAATAGAGTTTTTGTGTATGTGATAATAATAATTAGTTAAGATATTTATATAAATTGCCTTAAGAATCTGACGTAAAATATTTATATATCAGACTAATCATATACATATACTTATAGACCATCCATATCTAGTGAAGAACAATTGTTATTTTTTTTACCGAAATACTCCATATATTATAATTAAATTGCCTGTTTCTTTAATGATTGATTTTTATCGTTCCAACAGATTTTCCTTGTTGAATGTAATAATGATATATGCTTCCGTTGCTTAAAAGGTAAGACAATAAAACGGATAAAATCTGGAGTTTTTTTAATGTTTTATGACATACTTACAAAAAATAAATAAATGTAATTCTGATATGGATTATGAAAGGCCCAACAACAATATTATATATTTTTTTCCAGAAATATTATATTTTTAAGAATAAAGGAGTTTTTTATGACGAAAATATAACATTTTTCTTGGTTTTGGATATAATAAAAGTTTATAATATTCTGTTTAAAAATAATTCTTTTTACAACGAAAAAGATATAAGAATTGTTTTAGGAGACGGGAGAGGAGATAAATCATATTATCTTCTACTTTTGACACACAAAATTTTCCCCCGGCGTTAATAGCAAATCAGAAAATCCACCAACGCTCTCCCTCTCGCGCGCGCTCAAGTCGCCTCTTTCGCTGGTCCTTCTCCAATTGCTCTCTCTCTCTTCTTTGCCTTCTGATCCTTCGTTCCGTCTCTCTTTTTCCGTTTCTTCCAGACATTCGTTGCGGCGGCGGAGGAAAAGTAATCCGACCAGATTGGTGAGTCGGATAATCTCAGTTGTCTCGCATTCACTGTTTTTTGAAATTTCTGGTCCGATTCATGCGTCTTGTCTCGGCATTGCTCTTTGAACGTGTTTTTCTCCCCGTTTGGATATCTATATCGGCCTTCTACGTGTTTCCGAGCATATACGCGGAAATGTGTGCATTTCTTGGAATCTTGACATCTTTTTGGCCGATCTCTGTTAAGATCCGCATATGTATGCGACAGAGATCTCATGTTCAATCTTTTGCTGAAGTGTTCTTGTGTTTGGGCGTAATCCTTAACGGGACAATGTTCAATCTTTTGCTGAAATGTTCTCGTGTCTGGGCGTAATCCTTAACGGGACAATGTTCAATCTTTTGCTGAAGTGTTCTCGTGTTCGGGCGTAATCATTAACGGGACAATGTTCAATCTTTTGCTGAAATGTTCTCGCGTCTGGGCGTAATCCTTAACGGGACAATGTTCAATCTTTTGCTGAAATGTTCTTGTGTCTGGGCGTAATCCTTAATGGGACAGTGTTCAATCTTTTGCTGAAGTGTTCTTGTGTCTGGGTGTAATCCTTAACGGGACAATGCTTGGTCGGTTCTGCGTTGATGATCTTTTCATGTGTATTTTTAGATTTACCAAAGAAAAAAAAATATCTTAATGTTCAACGTCTTATTCTTAGTAGATCTAAGTGAATATATGATTTCTCTTGCTCAAACTGTGGTCTCATTGTTCCTCACTTTTGTGCTAATTTTGCATTAATTGTCAATGCATTTATCTTCTCTACCAAGGGGTCCAGATTATCTTATGAACTAACTTGTACTTAATTTCTGGCGCGTTTTTCAGGTCATGGGTGAAGAATTCTTTGAGTAACTGTTCCATAGATTCTCCTTAGTTTGATACAATGGAAGAAGATGAAGAAAAGAATCTCACAGAAGCTTCTGATAGACATTCTGATGTGGCCGAACTACCTTGTCCTGCAAAGGATAGGATAGAATCACTCACTCCAGGGAATTCTGGTGTTCTTTGCGATGAAGATTCTGGGACAGGAGAGGATATCATTGCATTACAAGGGATCAGTTCGGTTGATGCAGTCTTCGAGGATGATGATTTTGAACATAGGAGGTCCTCATTAGGTTTCACTGAAGGACAACTTTTGTCTGAGACTCTGGAGCTGCAATATGATTCTGGCCCGATGGATGATGTGCACAGTGATCAATTTTCAAGCACCGGGCCAGAAAGCGAGATAGCTTATTCAATGAAGCATTCTCACTCAGCAACTAGTCTGGATTCTTTTTACAATCCGGAATCAGGATATTCCCCACAGAGGCCCCGGCCAAAAGCTGCAATGCCAAATGTTTCTCCAGAATTATTGCATCTAGTGGATTCGGCCATCATGGGGAAGCTTGAAAGCTTAGATAAACTGAAGAATATAGTAAACGGTGTTGAGATTTTTGGCTTTGGAGAGGATCCGGAGGCAATTGCTTTCCTAGTTATCGATTCACTTCTCGCAACAATGGGTGGAGTTGAGAGTTTTGAAGAGGAGGAAGACAGCAACCCTCCTAGTGTGATGCTAAATTCTCGTGCTGCGGTAGTTGCTGCCGAGCTTATTCCTTGTCTTCCTTGTTTAGGTGACAATGTCAATTTTATGTCTCCTAGGACCCGCATGGTGAGAGGATTACTTGCTATTTTACGTTCTTGCGTGAGAAACAGATCTATGTGCTCGATGGCTGGGTTGTTGGGAGTTCTTTTGCAAACAGTTGAGGATATAATTTCCAAGGATGTTGATGTGAAATGGAATGCAGCCCCTTTGTTTCTCTGCATTCAACATTTAGCCGGGCACTCTCTTAGTGTCAATGATTTGCATAAGTTGCTCCAAATTATTAAACAAAATCTTACAACAGTGTGGTCAATTCCTTTGATGCATGCTCTGGAGAAGGCAATGAGTGGAAAGGAGGCAAGGGGACCGGCATGTACATTTGAGTTCAATGGTGAAAGCTCTGGCTTACTTAGTCCTGGTGAAAGTCGTTGGCCCTTTATCAATGGCTATGCATTTGCAACATGGATCTATATTGAATCTTTTGCTGGCACATTAAATGCAGCAACGGCCACAGCTGCAATTGCTGCCGCTGCAGCGGCCAAGTTAGGAAAATCATCTTCAATGTCAGCTGCAATGGCTGCAAGTGCGCTTGCTGGTGAGGGTACTGCTCACATGCCACGCTTATTCAGCTTGTTGTCTGCTGATAATCAGGGAATAGAGGCATATTTCCATGCACAGTTTTTGGTGGTTGAGAGTGGTAGTGGGAAAGGAAGAAAGGCTTCTCTGCATTTTACTCATGCATTTAAGCCTCAGTGTTGGTATTTTATTGGCCTGGAGCATACCTGCAAGCAGGGCCTTTTAGGGAAAGCAGAGAGTGAACTGCGACTGTATATTGATGGGTCATTGTGTGAAACTCATCCTTTTGAATTTCCTCGTATATCCAGGCCGCTTTCATTCTGCTGCATTGGAACTAACTCTCCCAAAGTGGCTGGCCTACAACGTCGTCATCGTCAGAGTTCTTTATTTGCTGAGATGGGACCAATTTACATATTTAAGGAACCAATTGGTCCTGAAAGCATGGCACGTTTGGCATCTAGAGGTGGTGATGTTTTGCCTTGTTTTGGTAATGGGGCAGGCCTTCCTTGGTTAGCTATGAATGACCGCATTCGTAGCAGAGCAAAGGAAATCAGTCTTTTGGATGCGGAGATTGGAGGATACATCCATCTTCTCTACCAACCCTGTCTGCTTAATGGACGGTTTTGCCCAGATGCTTCACCTTCTGGAGCTGCAGGTGTCTAATATATATTCTCCCTTGATGTTTGCTTGTTCTAAGTTCAAACACTTTTTGATAAATGGTTTAATTCCAAAGTTCAGACTTCAGAACCTGTTTTGTTATATGTTCTCAGATTCTTGCCTGGTTCATTTTGTAGGCTTTTTCTCCTTGTTCTCTCTTTCAGTGACCTCATTTTCCGTCCATAAATGTTCTCCGTTTATTTTGCAGCTTCTCTCCTGCATAATATACAAATTATCTTGTACCATTTTTATTCTTATTTTGTGTTGTTTCTTATGATGGTATACTTGGCCAGGAATTAAGCAATCATCAGTTCCCTTTCTGTCTGTAGTCTGAACTGTCTTGTTTTTTGCTTTTCCCTTACTTAGGAATTTCCCTTTTTATTTCTTGGTTAAGGCACACAAAGACGGCCCGCTGAGGTTCTTGGACAAGTCCATGTTGCTATGAGAATGAAGCCGATGGAGGCCTTCTGGGCCCTAGCTTACGGAGGACCCATGTGTTTGCTTCCTCTGACTGTTAGCAATGTGCATAAAGATAGCCTGGAGCCATTACCTGGAAGTCTTCCATTGTCTTCTGCTACAGCTGCTCTTGCCGCACCTGTATTTCGAATTATCTCTCTCTCTATTCAACATCCTGGAAACAATGAAGAGTTGTGCCGTACCCGCGGACCTGAGATTCTGGCCAGAGTTCTGAGTTATCTTCTACATTCACTCGCATCTCTTGATCGGAAGCACGATGGAGTAGGAGATGAGGAACTGGTTGCTGCCATTGTTTCGCTCTGCCAATCCCAGGAGATCAATCATGCTCTTAAACTGCAGCTCTATAGTACACTGCTATTAGATCTGAAGATATGGAGTTTGTGCAATTATGGACTCCAAAAAAAGCTATTGTCATCCCTTGCCGATATGGTTTTCACTGAAGCATCAACCATGAGGAATGCTGAGACTCTGGAGCTGCAATA